GCGCGTATGTTGGTAGTAGTCAGCGCGAAATATGCGCGCGGCGGGTACATCTTATAATCATTCGCGACTCAACCGGACTCTCGTCTCGACCATTATACACAGGAAACTAAAATACAGTACTGCGTACAGGCACATCGACTTGCGACGACACCTGTATGGTCAACACTACCATAGACGTGCTTGTGTCCATGTAGACAGCAGCATATTCATCGCGCATAGTGCTCACTCAATACTGAAGCTTACATTCGTGAGCGCACATTAGTGAAATATAAACTGTTAGGGTTGGTGGTACAGATAGCATGGTTTTGCGTGTGCCCACGTGAGCGAGTGTACGTGCCATCTACGGTGACGCGTATGCGGATAGGAACCACCAACTTGCAGCGGTGCACAGTTGATTCCATGTCTTATTATATTTTGAAGCGCGCTACGCTCTATAGGCGCGTCAACACGCTTGGTAGCGCCACAGTCAGCTTACAGTATGTGCGACCCCAAGCCTTGCACCGTCAGCCAGTATACAAACCTATGCGGGGTAAGGGGCTAAAAGGGTATACTTACCAATTACTTGCTCTTCTGCTGCTTCTTTTAATCAATGTACCTGACGTTTCGGGCGGTCAGCTTGCGAGGGCGGCTGTGCCTCTTTTTCTTCTTGGGGTACCAGTCAGGACCCATTGCCTTCTTGACGTTCGCCAGGCTTTCCTGGCGGCGCACTTCGGCCGAATCAGGTGGGGGGGGGGGTCCTCCCAAAACTCAGCCGCTTTTGGGCCGTTCTCGCAGGCAATACAGCGCCGCACGATGTCCCGCCCGCTGATTGTACGGAACGCGTAGCCGTACTGCAGCTTCCCGCAGCAGACGCAGCGCGGCCGGGCATCCGTCGTAGACCGTTGCGGGTTCAGCAGAAGCGGGTCAATCTTCGCCTCACATTGCTTGCACGTAGGGCCCACCATTTTGCAAGCTGTGCGTATGTTAGCAAAATATATTGTTTTAACAAATTACTTTCGTCCAAATATTAGCCAATAGCACGGTAATAAAAGGCTGATATTTATTATTAAGCTAAATAGTAAAATGTTTTATATTATTAATATTGGGCTTATCTTTAATATATTAATATCAGATTTCCAAACAAAAACATACTTTACATGCAATATAAATTGACTAAAAGACTATTATTGTGCGCGCATGCATTCGTCGGGTGGGGTGCACGGGAGCAGATAGCGCAATGACCGTGCAGCCGCGCGCCTTCATTGCACGGTGGCAGTGTTGAGTGCCAGGTGAAGTAAAATATATATATATTCGCAAGGTCCCTACAAAAAGCGCTGGTCGTGAAGCCTACTCTAATATTAAAAAATACTATCGTCTCCACTTTAGAAAGTCTGTGGAAAATAGCATCGCCGAGCTCTTACAATTGCGGCCTGTGAAGCTTATTTTAATAATACTAATATTATCAATATCGTCTTTACTTTGAAAAGTGTGTGGAAAATTACATCCCAGAGCTCTTACAAAATACTGGTCTGTGAAGTCTACATAAATAATATTACATATCTCTATATGAGAAGTGTGCAGAGCTCTTAGAAAATTAAGTGGTTACTGTGCCCGATTTGCATTACATACGACAGGTTTTGCGCTGCTGAATGCAATAATCAAGTATCTGCTGGCTGTTTGCATCCAATCAATGTGTTTCGTTCGGGGCAGAAATGTTTACCTTACGTCCAATCGCGAGGGAGAGAGGCGGTCTGATCGTGCGACAGATCCAGTCAGTGTCGCAGGTCGGCAGGTATTGCCCAATCAGGGCGCGAGTTAATTGCGTCACGCTTTTGGATATATTTGTAATTTTGGCATAGTTAAGTCGAGTCAGAAAGGTAGGCGCGGTCGGAAAGATGGGAGGAAACTGTATTAGACAGGCCGACTGTAGTCATGCGAAAAGGCAGGAAAAAGCAGCAAGAAAGGAACCGGACGGACTTATTGACAGACGGACGGACAGACACGCTGCAAGGTTAGGGGGCGGTAAATAAGAAGGCCTACGGGTAAAAACGGTGGCGAGTTGTGGGGTCGGTGACAAGGGCGAGTCAGCAGACTGTAGTCGCCGGTTCAACGGACGAGAAGATACCGTGTAGGGGGCGGTGGCAGCGAGAGCGAGTGTAAGAAAGAGGGGCGAGACAAAGGACACTAACGTGCGGCTGGTATGAGGCGACGAAAGAGATGAGTCCGAAGGGAGAGAGGTCCACGGAGAGCAGAAGAAGCCATGCCTAGAGGTAACTAAGCGACAGGGGGGTAGCTTGGAGGACAGCGAGCTGCAGTCTGACAGCCTCGATCTTCAGTTGCTGCTTGTTAAGTGGTGGTAGCGAGCCAAAACTAATATAACGAGGCTGTGCCGAAGTGACGCGGGTACTGCGCGAACAGACATACAAGGTACGCTGGATGAGATTTAATATTCAGTAGTAGGCGACAGCAGCGCGGACAGATACGAGGCAGAGTGCATCCGATAGGGTGTCGGGACCGTGGACGAGGGACACCGCCTAATGCACGTCATTTGGCCTTAGAGTGTGGGGTTTCTGAGCGAAACGTGTTGGCCCTTGCAGTGACGGAGATCCACATCGTCTTGTGAATGACCGATCGGGGGAAACCTAGGCTTGCCGAAGCCTGTGTGCAGATGTGACTACCTCTTAACCGTCTCTATTCTTGAGCACTGGGGGATGGTCCCGTACCGGAAGAGGCAATTGGCCTGGCGAACCATGAGTGGCGGGGCATCGTGGCAGCTTGGCGATGCAATGCGTGCAGTGGAGCTGGCGATAGTGCTTGAAAGCCTGTCTCAGACTCTAAAGGTGATCAAGTGCCTTATTGCGAAAGAGCACAAGCTAAGCGCGGACGGTGTGCGACGGATTGACGGTCTGGTGGACAGCGTGGCGATGGCCGGAAATTACCGGTGGTTTGTGCCGAGGTTCATGAGCAGAGCGGCCCTACTGACAAAGCTGCTCAGGGAGGGCTTTGGTGGCACTGGGATACAGACCAGCAGAAGGCGCTCGTGGATTTGAAGGCGGCGCTAACGAAGCGACCGGTGTTGCCTTACCCGGACTTCACTCGTCCGCTCACGCTAGTAACCGGGGGTTCACAGGAAGGACTGATGACCACGCTAAATCAAAATCAGGAAGAGGGCGATCAGCTCGTGGCGTACGCTTCCAAGGTTAAATCGGCAGTGGTGGCTACATACAACATTACGGAGCTAGATTGCGCGGCGGTGATATGGGTCAATCTGCTTAGGCTGTACTTGTATGGACGCAAGTTTCGGCTGGTGACGGATCACGCGGCCCTAAAATGGCTTTTGACCTCCAAGGACCTGACGATATAGCTTTACCGGTGGACCTTGCAGTTGCAGAATCTCGACTTCAAGAGTGTGGACAGGTCCGCGACGAGTAACAAAATGGCGGATGCGCTGTAGCGAGCACCAGTTAGGGTAGTTGTGGCGTGGAGCTTGACATCTGTACGGTATACAACATCGCTGAGAGCGGGTACCAATGCTATTTTCAAACGTGCCTGTGCCTCATTATGCACTATAAATAACCCACACCCTGAGCTCATTAATGGCCTCTCCCACAACACAAAGAGCGTATTGTACCACTGCCGTTTTATTGTGTAAAGGGCGTCAACAAAATTAAGTTGGGGTCACAGCAAAATCCAAAAAAGGACGCCAGCGAAAAACAGAATGGGGCGCCAGCAAAATGTTTTCTCCCCCTTTCTGCAATGGCACAACGAGTGTTCAAACTATAGTCCGTTAGCCTACCGTATTCCTTATGTGATTGGCGACGCTCGGTCATTAGCGACAAATTCAGCAGCCAATCAAAATGATTTAATTTTAAATTTCGTGTCGTCGCGCTTTATGTGCTTGGCGACAAATATATTTTTGCACACGTTACATTGTTTTTCTATGCATGTATCTTTTATGCTGGCGGATAGGCTGGACCACCTCAAGAATATGACTGTCGCCAATCACATAAGAAATACGGTATTGACATTTAATACAGTAGCACACAAAAAACACTTGGCGCACAACCAACAGCGGCGTATTGGAAGGTAAGGGCTCGCTCCTGTCTCTCTTGTATCATTGTCCTGATACTGTCGCGCGCTGTATTATCTAGATGGGAATCTACTCGACATGTTTCATAGGCCCTCAGTCTTGGAGGTGCGCGCTTTGATTTTTTTTAATTGCTGCAACAGCCAGAAGCCCTTACTCATTCTAACGCTTTATTTATGCGTTATTTAGTAAACCTAACAAAGTTCCGATGTCGCGACCTGTTGCACTTAGTTTGTAGCCATTTTCTGGAGGAGGTGCATCGACGCGGAGGTGCGCACTGTTGCCTATGGGTACCCTGGGTACATTTTTGAGATGTTTATGATGCTTTTGCACTTGTCACGCAGCTCTACTAGCTTGTGCTACTACGACGTGATGTTCAATGCTGCTAAGAATTTGCTCAAAAGATCTATTAGACCCTTAACCCTCTTCAAGTCACATACTACTTGTAAAATTTGTTGTTGTTCTTAATTTTGCTACACAAAGCACGTTATTGTTTTAAAGGTCCAGATTGCTAAATACTGCGTAGTAAATTGCTTAGAAACACATGCAAAAATACCCATATCTCACATATTGCGTCAGTTTTTTTCCTAGTCCTCCTGGTGCCGATACTCCGCAGAAAGTCTCGAAAGCTGTTAAAACAAACAGCCCACATTTATAGCTGTCTAATTAAACGTCCAAATCCGCAACAAACGTACTGGAAATCGTGAATCCTGGGTCGGGGTGGGCGCAGCAGAATAACGCTAGTGGCAACTTTTTTAACATCACGTTGAAATGATGATGCCGTCAGATCATAGACCAACACTGTTGCAGTGGTAAGCTGGACCATGATGCCGCACCAGTGCACGCCGTTGCAATTAAGTGAGATCAGGACCAATTCGTTCGATAGACCGAAAAGAATCTGGCTAGATCCCTAGCTCCAATCCCAATAGCCCCATTAAAAACAGCTCCAATGCTTTCCGTCCTGGAAGCCACAATGCCTGCCCGATGTCAAAGCTCTTCTCCAGAAGAATACAATGTATTCCATCTAAAAAGTAAAATCAAATTGCGATCAAAAGTTAGTTTCATGGTTTAACAATGTCAAGATGATCGGTGAGTACCTTACCTTTAGTGACGACAAGGGAAGATTTTTTAAGCGCTCCTCGACACCAATAGCCCTCGGTATCATTACGTGAGAAGAGACGACTATTGAAAAGTCGGTGTCTTCAATCAACATGAACGCCTTCTTGATATCTTGAATGGCCGACATGGCAGCATGCCACTTCTTCATAACGCTGAGGGTCGACGTCGACAATGTTCCTACGCCCTCAATTTTCAGTGCGATGGCCTTTTCTGCTAGATTTTTTTGTTTTCCTTGTAGGGAGGTAGCTTTTTAAGAGCAGCGCCTAATAGTATCTCTCGGTAGGATCTTGCAAGAAATTTTGTCAGGGAGCAATAGTGAGCTGGCTGGCACCTTCTTTAGGCGGTCTGCAGTAATTCATGGGGTTCTCTCGAAATACCAACTCCTAAAGCTTTTCAGAAATTGTCTTGGTCCGTATGTAGGAAGCCTTAAAAATAAAATTAAGCGACTTCATCGTCAGCGGAACGCGATTATCGGTTTCTTGATTCTCCTCCACCAAGTAGCCTTCATCCACTCCAGCCACATCTTAACTATTTTCGACGCCCGGTTGGGCACCTAGTTGGGCTACTGCTCCTTCTGGCTCCCCGCCAATCTGCTCACACTACGCACCCAGCCCGACCACCTCTTGTTCCACACATATCACCGCACCCTCACGCACGTCGACGGTTCTATCTGTCTTACGAGAGCAGAATGCGGCTCAGCTGCATTAGGAACGCCAGAACCTACCGCATCACTGTGACTCCCCCTGACTCTTCCACCGCAAGCTGGGCAGCTGTCTCACCATGGTCCTTGGCGTCTCCCCCAGAGTGGCTACCGCTTTCTGTCGCCAATTGCGACTGCAGTATGATTGGTCGATAATGCTTAATGAAGATAAACCAATTTTGCTTCGTGTGGTCGTTTTGTATAGCCAATTCTGGTATTTGTTCTGCAATTTAGCCACTGAAATTTTGCTACCGCCGTCGACACCGTCCCGGTAAATCTGTAAAATTCGATCTTCGTACGATTTTTTATGACGGTCGGGTACAGCACCGCTCTTCCTATATCTCCTAGGATCCAAAGTCGGCTCTTTTTAAAAAAAAGTTTCGCGTCTGATAAAGCTTTTCGCTAGCCGAAAAGTGTCGATTTCTTTACTCCACTGCCTGTGAGGTACTACATCCACTGTTTTTCGCCCAGGTCTTAAGCGCCTTGTTCTTGTCGGCCGCCGTATACTGTACACAACGTCGCCTCTTTTCCATGCCGCACAAATCCAAATCAAAGGGGGTAGGCAGAGAGAAAATCATGGACCGGTCCATATTTTAACCGGTTAAACATTCACGACTCGTCAAAAAGGCACGTTTACTTGTCCGGTCGAGTAAACTCGCATTTAGCTCGATCGAATGCAGGTTAACTCGACCGAATGCAGGTTTACTCGACTGGTCGAGTTATTGTCCATGTGGACGAGTTAATCTGCACCCCAAGTGCTAGTTAAGTGGACCGGTCGAGTTATTGTGCTTGTGGCCAAGCTAACTTGCATACCAAATGCAAGTTAGGTGGACCGGTCAAGTGTACTTCATGCACAATGAAAAAAACATTCTCACCAATCGTATAAATACACGTCACAATTTTTATACCGTTGAAGCTGAGCCCGGCTTTGTTGCGTACACATTTTTTGGTTAGTGCTGTTTTGCCGGAGCCAACAAATCTTTTGCTGGCACCCCAAAATGAAAGGTTTTGTTTGCCGAAGCTGTTTTCATTTTGCTGACACCCCATCTCATTTTGTTTTCACCCCGAAAGGTGTTTGTTCGCACCCCGGTCTCCGTTGATTTCTGTTAGTCATGCTTGCGGCTTAATCCCAGTGCAGTCACAGGTCAAGCTGGCATACATGTTAAAGGTAATTGCAGAGCAGATACCATGCGCAGCGGTAGAACATCGTAAAGGACATCGGTAAATACTAAACACTTAGTTGTCGTGCCGCCCCTGGTGCTGTTATACAAAGGTACTACTGACGTACTGTACGAGTGTTCAGCTTGTGAAAATGCTTCTTCACATCATAGTGCGGTATCACCAGCTCTTGTGTCTGGGCGGTGTTGTGTGGCCCGTTGGATGTATTTTAAGCTGCGTTTGTACAACAATGCTGTAGAGAACAGTGTATAGGGGGTTATGCTGAGACTGTCCAAATCTATAAGCATCCCAGTTAATGTCCATTTTCTAGCAACATTGCCGCGTCTTGGCAGTGCTTGGTGTTCTAGCGAGCGCAGTGAAACGTGGGCCACTCAGGTAGAATCCAGAAAGGGTCTAATACGAGATAGGTCTGGGTCAGGGGTCATAATTTATCGGCGTAAACTACATATATATTGAGTTAGCGAAATAGCCATGAAATAGGCTCGAATTGTAGAAACTATTTCGCGTTTGTGGTGCAGTGTGCTGAACAAGCCAAAATGAGTTGATGAAGCTTTAACCTTTCGTGGCATAAGAGCGCCTGGTGCGCCCTAAATGTGTTTTTGCAAAAGAAGGGATCGTCAAAGGGCGCCTGGTGCGCCTTTTGCAAAAGTTCAACCGACTCTGCTCCGTCTATAAAAACATACGACAAGCTGAGCGATTCGTATATATCCAGCATACTTTAATTTTGATGTATACCTAAATCATGATGTATCATCAATGCATCTTCAATGATTTGTTACAAGAGATGGTACCAAACAGGTACAAATGATTTCACTTAAAGACGCATGGGGCACCCTGAGAGAAATAAATATATTATATGTATATGGTATACTTTAGATAGGTGTATTCACGAAAGGGTTAAAATTGTCTACTTTCTAATTTTGCTGTAGAAGGCCAACGGAAGCGAGCGGGTGCGAGGCGGGCCCAGCATCGAGGTCACCAGCAAGTCGATCATCACAGTCTCCACTTCATTTTATCTTTATATCGCAGGCGAAGCAAACCACGGGGACGCCGAAGGGGCATCCAACCGCGCTCCACTTTGCTGGTCACTCGTAATTTATTGCTTGGGTGTACACAAATCACAGGTGAGACCAAAAAATTCCGTTTTAGCACACCGACGACCATTTACCCGATTTTGCTTAGATAAGGTATATGTATCGAGAAAACCTTGCTATCAGCTAAATTAATGACTATATATATATATCAACCAATCAGAAACGTTTGCAGAACGTTTCTATCAGCCATTCATGACGCTAAAGCGAAAATTTTGCACTTAGAGGCCCTTACATCACTCCTACATCACTCTGTGGAGAATTCAGTATACTGCGAAGCTTATCCCTATTTTGCGGGGATAACAGCATCAATGCTGAAGGGACCTCTTGATGGGAAGCTCATGTACCCATCTTGCGATCAATACAAACTCTCATAAACAAATATCCCAGCAAAATCGGGATAATTCCAGTCGCCGGTGGGCTAGACCCTTGTTATGTACCCACCACTCGCTCGGTGGTACAGTTAAGCTTCTCATTCTCTCGTCATCAGCATCTTCTTCGCTCGCTCGGACTTCAGAGCTCAGTTCTGATGTTACGCCTGCATGCTACCCCTAGCAGCCATGATCGAAAGGCGCCTGTCATGACTACCATGAAGTTTGCTCCAATCACGCGTCCTATGGTATTGCACACTTCCGTTTGCCATGACGAGGATTGTCGCGGAATAACTATTAGACAGCGGTTTTGACGGCGTATCCCTACAGCTCGAGTTTAATGCGGGATACCCCCAACGGCTGCTCACATCGAGGTAGATCTGCCATGTCAACCCTCTTAACACCGCGTCGAATATCCATAGGAACGTCCCCGGGCATCTTCACAAACCGGAACAGCCCTTTGCGCGTAATGAACCCCGTCTTGTTCCTTTCTGTCTGGTCCACGGGCTCCTGCCAGTACCTGGTATGCATTTCTACGAGCAACGCGACAAGGATCAGTACGATCGCGATGGTGACGTCGACTTCGAATGCTATAGCTACGCACTTGGTGGTGTTTACCCCGTGACGATTGACGATTTGGCTGACTGTCGTCGTCCCGTTGGTCAACAAGATGAATTTGCCCCCCCCTGCTGGTGGGGGCTTTGTGACTTTACTGTTGGGTGACAACGAGCACTGCGACGATTTAATCGGAGCATGAGCGGTAGTGGAAGTGGAAGCAGCTCCACTGGTGATGGTGATGTATCAAACGATCTCAAAGAGCACATTGTGGGAGAAGCTCACAAATTCCACGCCAAACAGAAAGAAATAGGGTTTAGTTGTGGGTACGTCGGCAGAGACGCTGTCACAATCTGCGTTTGGGGTGAAAATCTATATATATATCGTTTACACGGTCTGTATCGCGTACACTTGCCATTCATATGCGTGAGATGGACAAGGAAACGTCAAGTTCGCTTGCTCCAGAATGCGCGCTCCATTGTCTGTCCGAAGGCGATTGCATTGACAATTTTGTGATTTGGCAAAGCTCATCTAGAAGTATTACTTTGGAAATTCCAATTCCACCTTTTTCCACCGAGGAGAGATACCGCACTTCTATGTTTATTATTATAATGAGCATGGTTGGCACTTAGCGAGGATTGAAAAAGAAATTGGATGATCCAAAAGCAGCTTAAGTTCAATTTTCTACTACGCGGGCGAGCACATCGGCCAAAGGTGTGGCCCGCTGCTTCGAGACAGCTGAGATCGCATTAGCATTTAATTGAAGTATTTTGCGGCTGCTATGCGCATGAAGAGAGGGGTCTCGAAATGTTTGGAGATTAATTGAGGGTACAGATCGAAGGAATTGTCGATCTTTCAACATTATTGAGCAACAGGTAATGTACAGTGGTCACAAGATCTGTCACGGTGTCAAGTGATGGTGTTATCGCCCACCTGTTCGGCCCAGCTGAAAGCCGCTCGCACGATCTCACATTACTAGATACCTCAAACCCTGAAAAAACTTATAAGGATGGCAAGAGTTTCCACAGCTACCTTTTGCATGGTGATCCTGCATACGGACATACCAACGTCTCTCGCTTTGATCGAGTGGGTGTTACACACGATGAATTGATGTATACGCGTCAGTGCGCCAGTGTGAATATCCGTGGAATGAGGATTTGGGCAGATAATTGGTGAATGGGCGTTGCTAGACCTCAAGAGGAAGATGAATCAGGAGCGTTTATGTCGAAGAAGCTGCAGCAATTCTGTCAAATTGCTTAATCGTTCCCAAACGCCAAAATGTAGTTAGCAGCTGCTTTGACGTGTTCCTACCAAGGCTTGAAGTGTACTTCGCTTGAAATCGCTACCACGAAAATACAAGAAAATCACGAACTATTTTTGCTAGTAGCTGGAGAATTTTATAGGAAAATGGAGATTAGTGATATGAGCAACACATAGAGTTTTGTGGGTGAGCACTTAATGCTTCGTGCTGCGGGTTTCGTGAGCAGCGGCAACATATTTTAGAGACGATTGAATGTGATCGTCCAGACTCTCGGTTCCTTGAGTAAGTTTCGTGTCACGAGCAACTTGAGCTTCTTTTCCCTTCTCCATCAGCTTCTCCTCTTTTTTCCAGATCTATTCGACTCGTAGCCAAGTTTTGGTAATTTTCAGCTCTTCATCATGTTTTGTATAATCGTTGATTTCGTCCACGTCATTCTCATCGGTGTCATCGTCTTCGTTGCCATCTCCTTTTTCTTCTTTCTTACTGCTGGTCTCACTGTCGAGAAACCGAGAAGCTCAAGCGTTTAAGGCGTTCAACTCGTACGCAGGTGTCATCTTCTCCAATGTCGCTGTCACAAGAGTTGACAACTCGAGCTTCGTCTTCTTTCATTATGTCTTGCGCTGATGCAGCTGTCACTATACATGATTTGCGTATCTTCACTCTGTACGCCAGCTCCGATCGTCAATTGATGCAATGTGTGCCCCACAGTATGTCTTCCAATCTCATTGCTGCCTTACGCATCACACAAAGCACCTACCATCGCACTTCGTTTCTTTTTGCGCTTCTTCTTGTCTGCATCGACTTGCTGTTTTTCTATAATTGACAAATTTGTAAAACATTCGTAGATTGGCGGTTTTACCCGGTCTCCGCTACTAAACATCGGACCTATTAAGGTATTTTGTTCGCACCTATTATAGAACCTCTCAACATGGCGTGTTTACCCTTTCTTCCGCGTAAAAGAACCTGGCTTACAATCAAATATTTTGTTTTGATTGGTGGCATTTTGTAAAACCTTTCAGGTTTTACCGCAACAGGGCTAAGAAGAAAGACGCCTCCACTGCTCAATTAAGAGCGAAAGCTACGGCTTGCGATTCTGCAGCTTCATTGCTATATGGTGCAGCAAATTACTTCCGACGAGTTACTTTAAGCATCAGCTTACCGAATTCGCCGATGAGCTGTGCCCCTTAAATGTCATCGGTGGACTGTGCCCCACACACGGATTAGCCATCGTAGTGATGTGCACGTTTTGAAGGGGCGTCTTCGGTAAGCTGTG